TGGATAGGGTGCAAAATAAAAATAATAGTTTATTAAATTTATGTTTGTAATATGAAATGCACTCTACATACTCAAAATTCCCCTCTGAAATGACATGAAATTAAAACCTCAATATTTAAATTCTAATGATCTGGCTGCATGACGAGCCACCGCTCCGAAGCATTTGACCGTTAAGGTTGCCGTCGATCACGTGCGTGGGCGGCACTGTAGGACATCCTGTTGTCGTCGCGTTTAAACTTTTGATATCTTTTACGATGAAAAGAACACCTAAGCCATCGGGATCAGCATTCCCAAAGCGAAGGAAGGAGGAAGAAAAAAACGGGCCCAAAGCAGAGGTATGTAGACTTTATACATTTGGCAAAGGAACTTTTTGAGTTACAATTTTAGCTAACTGCCTCTCCTGCCACTCACGGTCCACGGACGGACCCTCGCTAGCTGTTTACACACACAATACAGTATCTCATAACTTTAACCAATTAATTTTACTTTTGAATCATCGTGTCCAGATGCAGTGAGCCATATCTGCAGCCTGTCGACAGGCACCTGTTGACACCGGGGGGGGTTGGGGGTGGGGGGTGGTCGGACTGTCTTCTACACCTGTTGAGTCTCACTGTGAAGATGAAGAATGTAAGATTTTTTAACAGTTTTTTCGAGTATGATTGCAGCCTTTTTATGAACTTAGTTTCAAGTTTTAGGTACGCATACAATATGAATTTAATATTTTCATATCAGAAGAACGTTAGATGTGCGTGTAGCAAAATTTCAACTTTGTCCGACACATCGGGCGGGGACTCCCCCGCTGCCGCCGGCAACGCGTCGTCGTTGTTTCCTTGTTTAATAAATGAAATCCTCAGACTGCCTCAGATCACCGGTTCTTCTTCCTCATATTCTACAATTTATTTGATGCTGAAGAGCACCTGAGAGTGAGACGTACGTTTTTTCAAATATTCCCCATTGATGCACTCACTTCCACCTGTTTTTGATCATTTTATTCATGTTTTCATAGAACAGATAAAAAAAAATCAATAAAATAAAAAGTCCAGTAGTGTGTGTGTGTGTGTGTGTGTGTGTGTGCGCGTTTTCTCACAGAAGAAGAACCCAACACCAGCAGACTCATTGCTCCAATCCAGCAGCCAGAAGAGACACCGTCGTCAGCTTCAACAGATGTGTGTGAACATGTAGGAGCTGCTGGCCCCATGGATCCTGCTGACTGGCCACAGCAGTTGAACAAAATGGAAAGTAGAACTTTCTTTATGATGACACTGATGTTTGAGTTTTCCTTTTGATTGCACAGTTTAATTCTGCTTTTGATTTTGCATCCCACCCCCCTTAATGACATTTGCACAACATTTTGAGTTGATCACCCATTCATTACAGGTTGCCACCTATTGTTGCAGCCTTCTTTTGTTACAGGTTGTTACGTATTTTACAGACTTTTAGGAGTCACTAATTATTTTGTGATCTTTTCTTTGTGTGTTAGTTTGATTTTTACAACTACAAACATATTTACCTTAATCGTAGTATTATTGTTTTATTACACTGTCAATTATAGGGGATGAACTTAGCGTTTACAGGGAGGAATGTTAAGTAAAAACTGATATTACTGAATTGATATAAATGACTTGACTGCTAAACATCTGGTGCCGTATTAACAATGTTTAAACGCAGCTTCATCCTGTTGACAGTCACTACCAGCCTCCACCATATACTGAATATTGACCTCAATTCTATATCCAGGAGAGCCATGCCACCAATTGTTATACTTGGGATTTTATCCCTTGTTTTACAATTCCTTATAGGGATCCGGACGTGGATACTGGGTTCAAATTACAGGAGAGCAACTTGGTTCTCCTTAAAGGTTGTCAGACTTCCCTGATGCCCTTAACTTACACACCCAGAAGGAGCACAAAAAAGATCCAGTTTCTACCTATATTATATTACTTATATGGACTCGGCGTAGCGGGGATTCCTTTGAGGAGATGCAGAGCGGCAGGCAGACTGCTGATTATTCATGAATTCCAGCTGCGCTCTGCACACGGCCACAGTAACATTTTCTAAGTTTCTAAGTGGTGTCACCAAAAATATACAATTAACACACAGTCATTCGTGTCCGTTCATTTTCTCTCTGGTAAGTTCTGTCTGTATTTGAGCATGACGTGTGGGTGCGCTCGCGCTGCCCCCGCTGCAGTGAGTCACTAGCGCAGCCGGGCAGTGTAGCGCACTCCTTTTTTTTGCGGTCAATAGATCAATTTGATCTGCTAGTTAAAAAGTTACTTGTGAGGTGAAAAAGGGGACAGACAGGAGTTTTTCTGGAGGACTGGGAGATGCAGGAAGATCAGAGACCGACAGGAAGATAGGAAAATGAAAACAAAGTTCTTTATAAAATGTAGATTTATCCCACTACACATTTGTACCTGTATAAAGCAATAATTTCAGCATGTAGTATTTATATAGTTGATACAATTCAGATCTTCAAAGCTCCATCCCATGCCCAGGGACGTATCCAAGCATTTTGGGGGCCGAGGCAAAATAGACCCCTGCCAGGTATTTTAAGTTAAAGTGCTCTGTTGTTGACTATTTGCAATAACATCCAAAAGTGAAGAATTTATATTACTTGATTGTTCAAGCTACCTCACAGAAGTGATGTTAAAAATTAAAGGTAAAAAAAAAAATCTGGAACCGTTTCTTCCTTCTTTTTTGTAATCGAATCGGGACTCTGCATCAGCAGATTCTCAAAATCAATTGACTCGGACTCTAGGGCAAAAAAAAAAAAAACCTGATCGGACATCCCTAACTAGAACCAGATTGCATCAAGACCACTTCTTTATACCTCAGCTGATTCAGAGCTTAGTTTTTCCACAGACAGTACTTACAACAGAACATCCGTGTCTGCTACAGAGGCCCATCAAGGCGACACACAGACTGTTAGCCTTTAGATGATGGTACCATCAGATGATACTAGATTAAGACTAGAGGTGGGAAAAATGATCAATTCTAAGATGCATTGCGATTCAGCCGTGCATGATTCCGCATCGATGCAGCAACGTAACATAATGAGATTCTCTCCCTATGTCTATGTCGGGGGTCGGCAACCCGCGGCTCTGGAGCTGCATGTGGCTCTTCCATCCATCTGATGTGGATCTCTGTGCTTGTAAAATAATGAATGGATGTTTAAATAAAATGTTTTATATTTTACTGCATTAATTTTACATCTGTATGCCAATTCTAAATGTAAAGATTGTCTGCGTAAACCTGAATAGTTCCAACCCAGTCTTAATGTGAGACCGGGTTGACGCGTCACGCTTGTGCGTAATCATAGGGACATTCTGAGCTGACGAGGATGTCAGATTCTGGGACTCTCCTCAGACAGGCTCCTGGATGTGTCGCCACATTGGAGACAGGAACAAGCACTATTCAGCCAAAGTTTCATAATCAGGGAACATTTTCTAAATGACAAGTCTCGCTTCAGTCGGAGGAATCTTCCTGCATGCGCTCTGGTTCTGCGACGTGCTCCAAGTCCCTCTCCACATCTTCAGCTCGCTGTGCACCTTACGTACGCACTGACAGCGAGCTGCGCTGAGCAGTGTCCAGCTCAGATTTTCAGATGGGAATCTTTTCTTGAATCTTTCTACATCTGTGCGAAATGAATAAAGTGTCAGTTCGTCTGCATGCGTCGGGGTAATTCTTTCTATTCTTTCTCCGTCAAAATAAACGGTCAAATACGGGAACTATCCAGTCAACACAACACAAGTCCTGCTTTTAACTGTTCTGTTTTCTTGTGAAAATTGTTGCAAAGAGATATAATTAAACTTGATTAACACCAGAGCCAGGCGCACTACGCCGTTATCTCTGTCACTGTAAATGAGGGAAAAACAAAATGATCGGATCCTTTTCTGACCTTCCCCACCTACAAAGTTTAATTACAACAATCAAACGTGACAGAGCCTGGATTTGTATTCTGAACAGTCTAAACATGTTTTAAAAAGAAACGTATGACAAAAGTGGCACCTGCTCAGTAAAACCACCAACAGGGTGAAAAATATCAAAATATTGTAGGCAGAGACGGGCTACAACTTCTGGATCCACTTAATATAAATCATTTTATTGATTATCGTCTTATGAAAGATAACTTTGACGTACACGAGCGACCGGTACCAGCTGCTGTCACCTGTTGAGAGCAGCGCTCTGCTGTCTTAGGGTAGGCCCCGCCCACAACGCCGCGGCTGCTGTGGCTCCCAGTGTTTTCTTTACTGTGGGAAACGGGTGATAATGGCTCTTTGATGGGAACAGGTTGCCGACCCCTGGTCGATGTCTACGCGAGGACAATAAAGTTTTGAGGTTTTATAATTACTTCTGGGGGCAGAGTTGCAATGACATGTGCACTGCGTTGCCCTAGCGCCAATTTAAAACAGAAAAGGCGGACAGGGATACAGGGCCAACATTACCAGTAATCAAAGATGTACCCGTTACATTTAAATCGGATGTCTGGGCTAATTTTGGTTTTGGGATCCTGGATGTGAAAGAATCACTTAACACAGTATTTGTTTACTATTTTTAAGTTCAGTAATATTCTATCTTAAAGCTGCTCTACCGAAAACATTATTTCTTATATTAAAGTAATTAAAGGCAGCACACTTTAAACATTATTGCTCACTATAGTTAATAGATGAATGTTCTGTTTTTCAGGAATTTTGAAATCAAAAAGAAATTGAAAACTATTCTACTGCTTTTATTAAGTAATGAAAATTTTTGTGTGAAGAATCGTGATGCCTTTCAGACTCAAATCGAATCGTGAGGCAGGTAGAGATGCACACCACTAATTAAGACTTATGCTAAACTTCCTGACATGGGTTTATTTTTACGATTTTGGGGAAGCCAGAACATTTTTATTCTTCACTCGACCTTTGACCCGGTTTATCTTCTCTCTGAGCATCAGATAAAGGTTTGGTCTATTGAGGCTCCACTGTGATGAACATGTTACAATAAAAGCCAACCAGGTCCAAGGTGTAAACATTATTGCATTTATTAGTAACTTTGACACTGCAGGGCAGCAGTTTGGAGATGCTTTAGTTTAACAGTATCCTGTTCACAAGAGATTTAGTGAACTTAGCGGGGGTGATTTTAGCACAAAAAATATAATAAAAACGCGAAATAGTCACTCAGGCCAGAATGAGTTTAGTAGCTCTAGTTTTGCACATCTCAAACACATTCCTCCAATGCAGATTCTTAGCTTGAGGTTACATTGGCCAGACCACCTTGTGTCCATCCTGAAGGGGAAAAGAAATACACATCAAAATCATGTTTTACATTCTAACACCTGACCCCCCAAAGGAAAATAAACCAAGTCAACTCACCTGCAAATGAGCAGGTGCTCACTCCTGAAATCACTCCATTCTGCCGGTCCGTGTCAGCCAAGTTAAACGACCTTGAACGAACTGGGACATTATTTACTTCATGCAGCAATACCTGCGAACCAGATAGGAGAACTCAGGTTTAATAAAAACATAAGGTTAGATATTGTCATTTACCAGCATTTTTTTTCCTTTTTTTTTTTATAACCGTGTCCTGTCTGGCTGTGGAGCAAACAGAATTGATGTCTGAATGCTGTAACAAGCCTTACAGATTTACTCTCAGGTGAAGCATCAAAGCTTCTGCTTTTAATGTTACGCCTGATACTTAAAACAATAACTTAAAACTTTATTGTTATTGTTTGTGAATGCTTTGTAAATCCGACCAGACACGGAATCAGGTGGAAGGAGAAAGGAAAAGACAAAAGGTGGGGAAGGGGGGGGGGGGGGGGGTTCCCACAAAAAACAACAAGAGTCTGCTTCTAGACCAGCAGAAAGACGAATAGGATAAAAAAAAGGGACACACAATGCATCAGGAGCAAGCTATCACTGTCAACTTGAAATATAAAAACCAACATTGTTTAACTGATCACACGATAATAAATCACAGTGCATTTAGTGGCAACGACAGCCTTAAGACCTGTGTTTAACGTGCCCAAGCCCATACTTTTGAGAGAACCATGTGAGCACCTGTGTGTGTACACGCGCTTGTTTATGTAAGGTTTCTCTAAAAAAGCGTCCAATAGAGAGTTTGAGGGACCACAGATCTGCTCCCTAAAGATGTGTAGGAGACGGAAGGAGCTCCAAGTCCCAGAGATCCAGGTGCTGGCCAAGAACACAGGAACCCCAAGGAGACTGCAACCAGAAAGGCCCCCGCCCCCCTCGAGAGGCACAGAGGATCGCCCCGGGGGGCCACAACCAGCAGCCGGCAGAGTCCCGGGAGATATCAGCGGCAAGCCCACAGGCCCGCCTGCAGCCTCCCACCCCCTAGCCGGCCGAGCCCGGGACCCAGCGACCCGGGACCCAGGGTAAGCTGGTAAAAAACATTTACAAGCTTAGATGAGCTGAAGTCACTTGTTGCAATGATCTGAATTGCTGACTTTTCTCCATAGTTGTACAGTACAACCACCATCTGAACATGGAAAGATGACATCATGATTACAGGAGAGCCTTTCAGAATTAAGGCCAATAAAAGTTATCCTACATTAGTTGTCAGGGATGCATCCTGCAGCTCAAGTTTAATCTTGCAGTGAGAGGTTGTGTTGAAGCTGGGTAGAGCCTGGTTAATCACTGATCCAGGGTTGGTGTCCTCAAACAGAACCTCTGCAGAAACACGGTCATCCTGTGGGTCCACGAATGAGAGGCAGCGTGGACTGATTGTAGAGTACATGGAGAACAGCGAGTTGTTGAAGGACACCTGTGGAACACACAAATAAAACCTGTTGCTTTACCACTAAGGTTCAGTTTCACTGCATTTTACTCACCCTCATCCGTGTATACACAATTCCACAGAAGTTCATGTGACACGTGTGGTGGTCCAACTCTCCAGAACCAATAAATACCACAGCCTCATAGAGATTTAACTGGCTGGCACAGACTGCAGCAGCAAAGAGACAACATGAGACTTGATGTTTTCATCCATCACAGCCTGCTATAAGACATGTTTGTTTTTACCTGCCAGTAACAGAACCAGAGCTCTCAGCTTCATCATGATGGAGACACTCAGTTAAACAGAAGCAAATGAACCACACACTGGTATGACCACAGCCCAGTTAAAGCTAAAGCATCTAACATGGAAGTGATGTGATGAAGAACCTGAGAACTATTTATACAGGGAGGACTGAATAGAGGACGACTAAAAGCTGAGCTAATCAGTAGACAGAGTTCAGGTGAGTAACGAGCAGAGTGATGACAAACAACACAAGAAAACCTGAAACTCTGAAATATTTGATTTGTTGAGCAAGAAAAAGAGAAGAGTTCATTAAGAGTCTTTGTTTTCCCACATTTAGCATCAAATTCTTTCAAATGAAGAACTGAGCAGTCGTTTGGGACCATTTTAATAATTTAAATTATCCAACAACTTTGTATTCATTATAAAGAAAGGAATATGTTCATAAATAATATTTATAAGAAGACTTCTGATTTTCTCAGGAATCCAAGTCGCTGTTAGATCAGACACCAGAGACGTGGCAACCCAGTATGAGGACACACCTGTGCCGTCATCATCTGTGACCTCATCAGTTCCTGCAAATGACCAGGATGATGACTTCAACCCTGATCCTGACATGTCCACTGGGACTGAATCATCAGATGATGATGTATCTCTAGAGGAGGAGCCAAGCTGATCAGTAACACATTCCATCCACCCATTTTCTGAACCCGCTTGTCCACGCAGGTCGCGGGGTGGGGGGGCTGGTGCCTATCTCCAGCGGTCAATGGGCAATCAGGCGGGGTACACCCTGGACAGAGAGCCAGTCCATCACAGGGCAACACAGAGACACACAGGACAAACAATCATGCACACACACACACACACACCTAAGGACAATTTAGACAGACCAATCAATTTAGACTGTGGGAGGAAGCCGGAGTACCCGGAGAGAACCCGCGCATGCACAGGGAGAACATGCAAACTCCATGCAGAAAGATCCCAGGCCGGGAAGCGAACCCAGGACCTTCGTGCTGCAAGGCAACAGCTCTAACCATGAACAATAAACCCCTTTTTAAATTTGTGATGTTAATTATACATTTTGCATTTTAGCCAACCATCAAGGGCTTTATTTGCAATATAGTCCAAAAGTGAATTTGTATTACTTTATTGTTCAAGTTACCTCACAGAAGTGATGTTTAAAATTAAAAAAGCTAAATATTCTGGAACTGTTCATCGGGACTCGGTATAGGTAGATTCTCAAAATCAAATGACTGACTCGAGGGCAAAAAAAACCTGATCGGGACATCCCCAACTAGACCCAGATCGCATCAAGACCACTTCTTAAAATACCTGATTCAGAGCCTTGTTTGTCCCCCAGACTGTATTAAACAGTTTGCGTCTGCTACAGAAGCCCATCAAGGCGCCACAAAGACTGTTAGCTTTTAGATGATGGTACCATCAGATGAAATACTAGATTAAGACTTATTCTGTACATGGGATTTTTACGATTTGAGGAAGCCAGAACATTTTTATATTCTTCACTCTACCTTTGACCCTCTGTTTATCCTGAGCATAAGATAAAGGTTTAATCTATTGAGGCTCCACTGTGATGAACATGTTACAATAAAAGCCAACCAGGTCCAAGTTTTAAACATTAAATTGCATTTATTAGCAACTTTGACACTGCAGGGCAGCAGTTTGGAGATGCTTTAGTTTTTTGAACAGTGTCCTGTTCAAGAGATTTAGTGAGGTTAGCAGGAGTGATTTTAGCACAAAGACAGAGTCACTCAGGCCAGAATGAGTTTAGTAGCTTTAGTTTTGCACATCAGACACATTTCTCCAATGCAGATTCTTAGCTTGAGGTTATATTGGTCAGACCACCTTGTGTCCTTCCTGAAGGGGAAAAGAATCAAAAATATGTTTTACATTTTAACACCTGAGGTTTTTGTTAAAAAGACAGATTAAAATTGTCAGCATTTACCAGCTTAGATGAACTGAAGTCATTTGTTGCAATGATCTGAATTGCTGACTTTTCTCCAAAGTTGTACAGTAAAACCACCATCTGAATACAAGACATCTCAGATTACAGGAGAGCCCTTCATCAGAATTAAGGCCAATAAAAGTTATCCTACATGAGTTCTCAGGGCTTCATCCTGCAGCTCAAGTTTAATCTTGCAGTGAGAGGTTGTGTTGAAGCTGGGCAGAGCCTGGTTAATCACTGTGCTAGGGTGGGTGTCCTCAAACAGAACCTCTACAGAAACACGGTCATCCTGTGGGTCCACGAACGAGAGGCAGTCTGGGCTGACTGTAGAGCAGATGGAGAACAGCGAGTTGTTGAAGGACACCTGTGGAACACACAAATAAAACCTGTTGACGGGAGGCGACAAACGACCGCGATGGTCGCTGTCGCTTTAGTTACCTGACACACGGGAGGCGATCCGCGTCAGCGGCAAAAGCCGTTACGCGTTCCGTTCCATGGCGAAATTGAAACTTGCGTTGTTTTGTTTGGCTGTGTCAGGTTGGAGGGAATTAAGATTATTTAAGCGGTTCAGAGTTGAAAAAGTGGTAGATATGATGTTTCACAAGGTGCTGCTAGAGTTAAGTGAAATCTTACTTCTGATTTTACTATAAAACATAATAATAATCAACTTCTCCTTCATGTTTGCTCGGAGATGTACGGAGCATCCTGTCCGCTCATTGGTCAGTGAATGAAACCGCCGTTGATTGGTCCTCGTCCGAGCGACAGCGATGAAAAGTTGAAAATGTTTCAACTTTCTGGGATCGCGTTGCTGGGTCGCCTGTGCACGAGCGCAAAATTTCACACGCACGTTTTTCGCGTTTCGCTTGGTAGGAGGGTATGGGGTGCCATTTGTAAAGTCAAACAGTCATAATCTAACCGCAATATTTTTGGTTATTTAGCATATCATAAGAGAAAAACTTGGGAGTTCATTTTTTTGAAGTCATATTTTCATCATGTTATTCATACATTTATAAATGTTAAAGTTTCCAAATATATATTTAGTTAGCAAGCTAAATATTTCATCTATGGTTAAATATTTATTTTGCAAACTAAATATTTAGGTCTGATCTAAATATTTAGTTTGTAAAATATTGAATTCACTAACTAAATATTTAATTTACTAATTAAAATTTTATTTTGGAACTAAATATTTAATTTGTTAATTAAGTATTTGTTTTCTGTAATAAATATTTAGATCCCAGCTAAAGATTTATTTTGGAGCTAAACATTTAGTTTGCAAAATCAGTATTTGGGAAATAAATATTTAAGGCTGACCCAAAAATATAAAATATAGTGGAGCTAAATAACATCGTGAAAAATAAATATTTAGCCGGTACTTAAACATTTAGCTAATATGCAAATTTGCTTGCCAATAAGCAGAAATTGATCACCAAAATAGAAGCTGGATCTCGTTGACTTCTTTGTAAACGCTTGCTCTAAAACAGAACTGGTTTTATCTCCGGTTCTATTCTTCTGAACATGCCCAACGTGTTGGCTAAAGAAGATTAGAACCGGAGTTAAAACAAGTTCTGGTTCGGAGCAAGAGTTTATAAAGAAGTCAACGAGATCCAGCTTTTATTTTGTAATCAACTTCCGCTTATTGGCGAGCGAATTTGCACATTAGCTAAATGTTTAAGTACCAGCTAAATATTTATTTTCCACAATGTTATTTAGCTCCACACTATATTTTATATTTTTGGGTCAGACTTAAATATTTATTTGCCAAATACTGATTTTGCAAACTAAATATTTAGCTCCAAAATAAATCTTTAGCTGGGATCTAAATATTTTTTTCGGAAAATAAATTTTTAATTTATAAATTAAATATTTAGTTCCAAAATAAATATTTAATTAGTAAATTAAATATTTAGTTAGATAATTAAATATTTATTTTACAAACTAAATATTTAGATCAGACCTAAATATTTAGTTTGCAAAATAAATATTTAACTATAAATTAAATATTTAGCTTGCTAACTAAATATATATTTGGAAACTAACATTTATAAATGTATGAATAACATGGTGAAAATATGACTTCGAAAAAGTGAACTCCCAATTTTTTCTCTTATGATATGCTAAATAACCAAAAATATTGCTGTTAGATTATGACTGCTTGACTGCTTGACTTTACAAATGACACCCCATAGAAGGGAGACCCGCGATTGTCAATTTGTCGCGTAAGTCTCATTGAAAATGAATGGAGAGTCGATGTCGCCTCCCGTGTGTCGAGCCCACCAGGTTCAGTTTCACTGCATCTAACTCACCCTCATCCGTCTGTACACAATTCCACAGACGTTCATGGGACACATGTGGATGTCCAACTCTCCAGAGCCAACAAATACCACAGCCTCATTGAGATTAAACTGGCTGGCACAGACTGCAGCAGCAAAGAGACAACATGAGACTTGATGTTTTCATCCATCACAGCCTGCTATAAGACATGTTTGTTTTTACCTGCCAGTAACAGAACCAGAGCTCTCAGCTTCATCATGAGGGGGACACTCAGCTAGACAGACTCAAATGAACCACACACTGGTATGCCCACAGCCCAGCTTAAAGTATCTAACATGGAAGTGATGTGATGAAGAACCTGAGAACTATTTATACAGGGAGGACTGATTAGAGGATGACAAAAAGCTGAGCTAATCAGTAGACAGAGTTCAGGTGAGTAACGAGCAGAGTGATGACAAACAACACAAGAAAACCTGAAACTTTGAAATATTTGATTTGTTGAGCAAGAAAAAGAGAAGAGTTCATTAAGAGTCTTTGTTTTCCCACATTTAGCATCAAATTCTTTCCAGTCATTTTCAAATTTCAGTCATTCAAATGAAGAACTGAGCAGTCATTTGGGACCATTTTAATATTAATTTAAATTATCCAACAACTTTGTATTCATTATAAAGAAAGGAATATGTTCATAAATAATATTTATAAGATGACTTCTGATTTTCTCAGGAATCCAAGTCGCTGTTAGATCAGACACCAGAGATGTGGCAACCCAGTATGAGGACACACCTGTGCCGTCATCATCTGTGACCTCATCAGTTCCTGCAAATGACCAGGATGATGACTTCTACCCTGATCCTGACATGTCCATTGGGACTGAATCATCAGATGATGATGTGTCTCTAGAGGAGGAGCCAAGCTGGTCAGTAACACATTCCATGAACAATAAACCCCTTTTTAAATTTGTGATGTTGTGTTAAAAATTATACATTTTGCATTTTAGCCAACCATCAAGGGCAGACACATACATTGTATGTCATGATGAGCTGATGGAGCTGTTCTCCTTGCAAACCATGCAAGGAGTGTGAGCTCCATGGTTCGGGTTGGTGCGATAGACCGGGTGCTGCGTGAGTTGTCGGCAGATTCTGGTCTCAGTTTTCAACCGGTGTCTTACTCCTGGTCCTCCTCTGACTCTGTCGTTTTCTTCACCGCTTGCATCAACTGTTGTTTGTCTCTTGGGTTGGTGTTTGTCCTGTTCCGTCACTTCTCCGCACGGTGGGCCTCCTTAATGGACTCGGCTCGCAGCTTGGGAAACCAACTATTTAGAGCTCTTGTACCAACGGTGCCAGTCCGTGATGGTCCGATGACCAGGAACCTCCGCCTGTGCCGGTCGATCCGGTACCTTCGGGTGGTTTCATTAGTTTTAGATTTTTCTGTCCCTTAGTTCTCTGTTTCAGTTTACACAAGTTCTGTTTGTGTTTGTGTGTGTGCATGGATTTATTTCCTGTCTAAACATGTCATGCAGACTTGGGTGACTTGAGATGGTCATGCTGTGGGTTCCTGAAGTCCTGTGATGACTAAGTCAGTGACCTTTAAAGACGAGTAATCCCGCAAACTGATGTGTTAATCCAAATTCCATTTTGTTAAATTTTCCAATTTTTAGATCTTTTGGGGGTTTTCAAATGTAGCGTCATGAAATGTCCTGTTTTTGACCTAAAGGTCATGTTCTGCTGCGTCTGCTCAAGTGGAGACATAATGTCTCTGACACAGTGTCTTGCCCAAGATATTTCATTAATAACCATTAATGTGCATCAGTGCCACCGCTGGGCTCTCTATCAGGCGTACCGTGGTTGGCGGACATTCTTTTTGGGCCAACAGTACCGACGCTTTTTATGCCGACTTCGGACTGGTCCATAATAGCAGTAAGCTATTAGTGGCCCTATTAACATTTGGACTGTCTCATTTTTCTAACCAAACCCTTTTCGCTCTGGTCCTGCATTTTGCAAAAATAATAAAAAGATGGTAGCGTGATTGTGTCCTGATCACACACGGGTCTGTGGCAGGTGGACCTGTGATTAGAGCTAACGTTATCTATTTGGATCGTATGAGGTGGAGAGAAATTACAAAAGAAGGGCAGAGAGACTGCGAGAAATAAACTCGCTGTTCAAACAAACACCGTGAAATGCCACTCCTGGCCGACGTTGAAGAACTGTAAGGCCTTGTCCAGCGAATACGTGTCAGCCACCGGAAATTCCTCGTCGGCGGCAGGGGTGAAGTACTCGACCCGGCGGATCTTTTCAGCCACGGGCAGAGGGGCACAAAACGGGCACGAGGCCTGTGGGGTCAAGGCCAGGCCAGCGTGATGAGCCCCGAGACAGACCTCACACTTGACATGCAGGTCGCCACTGAAGATGGAGCCCGTCTGGCAGGCCGGGCAGGTCCTGGCGTCGCTGGACATGGTAGGAGAATACTTCTTGGATAAATGCTCTTTAAAGGAAGCTCTTAAGCTTGCCTTGAAGAGATAATGGAGGCAAACAGTGGAGTCGCTCCACTTATATACTCACAGGGGTGCCCACCATTGGTAGGCGTACATTTAAGCTCTTCATGATTGGCTGATGCTGAGATCATCCTTCCAATAGCAGCTAGCTTAAGGGCTAAGAATAGACGAAATAGAACAATTGTTCCCTCTGTAATTCACCACTTGATGGGGTAAAAGAGTCAAATAAAAATACCTCAATAAAATTAAAAGTGAAAGACTTTTACAACCCCTAACCTTACTTACAGGGTTTTACACCCTTGGAAGCATCAACAGAACCAACTGCTATTGAGTCTCTCACATCACTGTGAAGGAATGTTGTACCACTCCTTTTTTTTACAGAATATGGTTTTCCAACATCTAGGTAAAGAGCCAATCCATGGTTCAGTTAAATATGAATAGTCATCCAGGCCCAGACCATCACTGCCACCACCGTGTTTGACTGATGGCATGACGCTTCAGTTAGTTTTACTCTAGATGAACAGGACAGACGCCTTCCAGAAACGTCTGTTTTTGATTCTTCAATCCACAGAACATTTTCTCTGAAGTCTTTGGGTTCTTCAAGGACTTTTAGGAGGTAACTGAGACGAGTCTTTGTGTAATTCTTTGGTCAGAAGTGGTTTTGATCATAGAACTTTCTTGTGGAGATGATTTCAGCCTACTCCATGATGTCAGACAAGTTCTTCTGAAGTTATTCATGAAAGTGTTAGTTTACAAGTGTTGGTGTGAACATTTTTATTCATAAGTTAACATTAACTCACTAAAACAGAATTTTTTTTTAGTTTAATGAACAAAAACTTACATTCAAACTGACCTTACACTTTTTTTATAATTATTATTTTGTGTTATTATAATGACAGACAGGAAGAACAAAAATGGAAAGTGTATCTTTACACAGCTACCTTCAAATAAAACCTGGTAAAGACACAAGAAACAAGGTTCAGAAAACATCTCAGTACCAACTTTAATTGATTTTTGTGCCTACAAACAATCACTTTAGTATCTCTTTCTCATGAGCTTTAAATCTTCCATGAGACACAAGCGTTCACAATTGACCTAAATATTCTTATTTTACCATTTACCATTTAAATTATTATTTTACTGCCCCTTAAATAGGAAAGAAAATGGTACCAATGTCACATATAATCAACACACTCAACTAAAGGTATCTTTTCACCATATTAAGCTAACTCTCAAAAATGCTTTTGCTTTATATTCCCAATCAACCATTTTCTCAATGAATCAGATCAACGTTTCTGCTTCTGCCACCAGGATGTTTCGATGGTTATATGATTCCGAGCACCTAAAAAGATTTATAAAAGCACACATTATCACTTTTTTTGTTTGTACAAAAACTTAAATCAAATCACATCTTTGCTGTTTTTAGTCAGATTCCTGCCACTTAAGGGAAATATTAGCAAAATGGTGCTCCATATACACCATTATCATGGTCATACTTGTGATATTTTAATTTTTTTAGGTTGTGCAGATAGGCTAACCTTCCAGCAATCAGATATCTACTCCGTTATTATAAAGAGAGGTGCAGCTACGGTTTGTCATTGAATGAAAAACTGATTCAGAAAACGTAATTTAACTTAAGTCATGAACATTGAATCATTACAATAAACTCTAAAGTTGAATACATTTTTTAATGATCTATGTCATTAATTAAATTATTGTAATGCATTCTGTTCTAAATTTTTCTGACCTCATTTACTCCTCGTCTCCTTTTTTGTTCCTCCCCGTCTTCATTAGAGTGCCCTGCACCTGATGGAGATAGAAAGAGCCATTTTTCAAATTCATAAAACAAACATCCAAAGGAAACAAAGGTAAAGTTCTCGTAACTTGTTCTTCTTATTCAGTCTGTCAAAGAGGAACTTCACTCATTTTTTAATACATTTGCAGGGGTCTCTAGTAGGACTGAATGCCTTATAAGTCATACTCTGGGGAAAAAAATAGCTCAGGTGCGCCTGTTTCAGCACGGAGAATTTAGCTAGAGGAGAAAGAAGCTTCAGACGACAGGTTTTGGAGTCTTATTTCCTGATATCTGGACATCTCGCCTCAGATTGGCCAACATACACGACTCCACCACTGACTCTGTCTGCTTTACAATGTTGATGTTTTATCTCCACAAATAACTCAAGCCATGTTCAGAAAATCTGAGGCCTGTTTGGTGGATTCCTCCGATAAAGATTTAAAATAGAGTTTGAATTGAATTGAACTGAATAGAATTTGAATTTATTCAGTCAAAACATAATAATAATATAATCAATAACACATTACATTACATTACATTTAAAGTGACTGAAAAGGCTCAGGCCGAAGCAACATGCTTATATTGATGCCTGACCTTTTCAACAAATTAAACAAATTAATCTACCCCTTTAACACAAATCTGCACAATTTTAGCAAAATAGAAAAGAAGAAGAAGAGAAATATGCACCATTTAGTCAAATAAGTTCACAATACTCTTACATTTATAACACAACTTATAAATTCTTGTAACCATCAAAAATTATCATCAAAACCATCCTTTTAAACAACAAAAGGATGGTTGAGTTAAATCACTGCATCTCAGACCGTAATACCAGCTAGATTTACCCAGCGTTGTAGTGACAGATCTCCTTAGGTCCGCATAAGCTGTTCAGAGTAAGATCTGCTGTTGGGCTACAGACGGCGTTCTCGCAGGTCTTTGGGAACTTCTTCGATTTACCAGGTAGTATAATTTTGCCTGCCAGGGGGTGATAGAAAGTTTATGCAAATACTAAAGTAGAACACTAGTCAAATGTAAATCTAGAATTTAAGAAACAGATGTAAATTGTGTGTTACAACTTTTGTTTCAGGTCTTGCCTTTTTTAAGATTGACTCACCTGAGAATCTGCAGCCGCTGCCATCCAGGATTACACCGTTTTTCCAGTCAGCTAATCTGTAGGATCCTGTTATCACCGCATTGTTGGGCACCACAACATGAATGTTCTGGAAAACGAAGTTAGAAGGAAATCAAAACATGGTTAATTGTACAACACTGGGCTACAGCAAGTAACATGTAAAATTATTGAACCAATGGGAAATATCGTCTCTCGTCTCGTCTCATCTCCCTCCGCTTATCCGGGTCCGGGTCGCGGGGGCAGCATCCCAACTAGGGAGCTCCAGACCGTCCTCTCCCCGGCCACCTCCACCAGTTCCTCCGGCAGGACCCCAAGGCGTTCCCGGACCAGACTGGAGATGTAACCTCTCCAACGTGTCCTGGGTCGACCCGGGGGCCTCCTGCCGGCAGGACATGCCCGAAACACCTCCCCAGGGAGGCGTCCAGGAGGCATCCTGACCAGATGCTCAAACCACCTCAACTGGCTCCTCTCGATCCGGAGGAGCAGCGGTTCTACTCCGAGTCCCACCCGAATGTCCGAGCTCCTCACCCTATCTCTAAGGCTGAGCCCAGCCACCCTACGGAGGAAACTCATTTTGGCCGCTTGTATCCGCGATCTCGTTCTTTCGGTCATTACCCAAAGCTCATGACCATAGGTGAGGATTGGGACGTAGATCGACCGGTAAATCGAAAGCCTGGCTTTCTGGCTCAGCACCCTCTTCACCACGACAGATTGGCTCAGCGTCCGCATCACTGCAGACGCCGAACCAATCCGCCTGTCGATCTCCCGATCCCTCCTACCCTCACTCGTGAACAAGACCCCGAGATACTTAAACTCCTCCACTTGAGGTAGGACCTCTCCCCCGACCCAGAGTTGGCAAGCCACCCTTTTCCGGTCGAGAACCATGGTCTCAGATTTGGAGGTGCTGATCCTCATCCCAATGGGAAATATCACTTCCTGTTTCCTTAAAGTCCTAATTAAAAAATGAGATCATACAGTAAACATTATTTGCCACCCCTCCAATTTACAGGACAGAACCAGAAAGAGCTGGTCAGGGGAAATCATTTCTGGTTTCTGCAGCTTAAACACCGTAAAAACAGGACTTGAATCACTTAGAGACGTTTTAAAACATCTGTACTCACAAGCATCGTCTCAGTGAAGAGGCTGGTTGGAATGAACTGCAGAGCTGTTTGTTTTCCAAAGTTGTAGATAATGTAAGTCAGCTGAACACAGATCAACAGAACTTTAAACACCTCTTGAATCAGATTGAAAAGAACAGTTTATCTGAAACTGAAACACTCACATGAGTCCTGGACGTGGCATCTTTCAGCTCAAACTTAAGAATACAGTGTGAGGTGGAATGGAAGTTTTTGAGCGTTTGATGGATCACTGATCCAGGACCTGTTGTCTTTTGCTGAACCTCCACTGTTGCTCGGTCAGCCTGCGGGTCGTACAGGTACATGCATTCTGGGATCAGTGCTCCGCATATCCTAACAACAGGATAATCAAAGATCATCTGTCAAAGAAAGAAGAACACACAGATATAAGTCACACACCAAACCTTTACCTTCTGTGGATTAAACTAACACATTTAAAAGCAAATTCATCCAAATGCTTTGAGGCTAGCAGGCAGCAGGAGCCTTTGGTGTTATTGTGGATTTAATTGTTTAATTCCCTGGAAGCTGAAAAAATTTACTAATCTGTTGTGTTGACACGGAGGCTTGTCAAGTTTCAGATGCTTTTAAAGCTTTTAATCTGAGAAACCTTCAGGTTCTAGGAAGATACAAATTTAAGAGCCAAACATATTTAAAAATTTATCCAGTTTAATATACTGATTATATTTATATGATATATTAAAGTAAAATCTCAAAACACCCAAACTTGTTGCTAGAATCACTAATAAAATTCAAATAAAATCTATGAATGAGCTTAATTTTTAATTTCTCTTCATATTCAGTCGAACAGCTGCTCAGAAATGCACAGGCCGTCGGGTAATTAAATGAGGATGAAAAGGTTAAAAACAATCTCATTTCACGCACTTGCAACTCAGTGTGTTGTATTCCAAAGTACGTGACAGGACAGGCGCTGTGGTCGACCACACCTGTACCAATAACCATCACACCCTGGTACAGGTGAAACTGGCTGCTGGTGACTGCAGGAAGAAAAAAGGAAATGAGACCTCATGTTTTCATCCATCACAGCCTCCTATAAGACACGTTTGTTCTTACCTGCCAGGAAGAGAACCAGAGCTCCTGACTTCAGCATGACGGACTCAAAGTAAACTGGTGGAGAAAAGAGAAGTTGGTAATCTCTGTTCTTTAGTTTAGTAAAATATACACAAAATTACCTAAATAAAGCCCAGTCTTATGCGTGGGCTAGAGTACGGTTGCATGAAATACATTTTAAACAAACAGAAAAACGATCTTACTGTGTGGAGGCAGGAGGAGAAGCTCTGCAGGAGGAGGTTGATGCTTCAGCTTACTATCAGGTGTGTCTCTGGCTTTTTGTGCAAGTCAGTTTGGTTCACGCCCCTAAAACACTGATGCCCCAGATTCCTGATCTTTATAATTTAGTGGAACTTGGTATTTAGGTCAGACACGTTGTGCAGCATTCACTTCTGAGTTGTTGGAGTTTGCTCAGATAACCAAACATTTTAAGTGCTTCAAAAGATTCAGTAACGTTTCACCAACCAGTTTAAAAGTAACTCAGAAAAAGCAAAAGACTTCTGCAGCTTTTATTGTTGGGTCCTTCTTTAGCCTCATCCATTTCATGATGTTTTTGTCGTTCAGAAAAATATGAGACTCACAAAAGCCTTGTTGATCTTCTTTCAACCTCTTTTCTTCTTAAGATTTTTGACCTAATTGGTTCATACTTTAAGGATGTTATTAATTTATTCTTCCAATCCAGCATCGTGCTCTCTGTTTTCAAAGTGGCCTAGTGGTAGAGTGTCTGCCCTGAGACTGGGAGATCAGGGTTCAATTCCTGGTCGGTTCATACCAAAGACTTAGAAAAAAATGGGACCCAATGCCTCCCTGCTTGACACTCAGCATTAAGGGGTTGGGTTGGGGGGTTAAACCACCAAATGGTTCCCGAGCGCGGCTGTGTCTGCAGCTCATCGCTCCCCCAGGGGATGGGTCAAATGCGGAGAACAAATTTCACACACACACATCAGTGTGTGTGACAACTAATGGGACTTTAACTTTAACTTTAAACATGTTGTTATTGAAACTATCATTAAAAACAGTATGGACTCCTCTCAGCCTGAACATGACAGGCCCATTTCTAAACTGCCCTTTATCTGTTTGGAAGAAAGTTGTGGCTGATTAACGAATTGTTCTAATCTGGTTTTCATAAAAAGCATTCAACAGAAACAGCTTTGCTGACGTCATGATGGCTGTAGACAACGGGGAATTCACAGTGTTAGTGGCTTATTGTTAGATCTTCCTGCAGCTTTTGACACTGTTGATCACGGCACCTTAATTAACAGCCTTTGTGACTCGATGGGGATCTCTGGAACGGTTCTAGGCTGGTTTAGATCACACCTTTCTAACAGAAGTTACAGTGTCTGTATAAACCAAATCATGTCAAATTCTACCGATCTGTTCTGTGGGGTACCCCAAGGCTCTGTTTGGAGTCCACTGTTGTTTCTACTGTACATACACCCACCAAAACAGTATTTGTTTTTCACTTAAGAAACATCTCCAAAAGGTTGGTGTCAAAACATGAAATTGAAATGTTATTCATGCCTTTATCTCCTCCTGTCTAGATTAATGCAACACACTTTCACTTGTTTTAACAAAAAAGCCCTTGACCGCCTTCAGTTGGTCCAGAACTCTGCAGCAGGGCTCCTAACTGGAGCAAACAGAAGAGCACACATCCCCCCATTCTAATGTCTCTGCACTGGTTACCCGTTAACTTTAGAATATATTTTAAAATCCTGACTATAACTTTCAGGGCTTTACATGGTCAAGCTCCTCCCTATATTACTGAGCTGCTAAAGCCTTATGCTCCAACCTGAGTCCTCACGTCCACCCACCAGAACCTTCTAGAAGTTCCAAAGACCAGATATAAAAGTCGAGGTGATCACTCCTTCCAGGTTGTTGCACCTTGACATTGGAATGAACTTCCTTTTCTTTTTACGTTGTATTGGTAGTTTGGACACATTATAAAGTAGCAGTAAACCTACCTTGTTTTTAATTTTCCATTTGTTTTATGATCTTTGTTTATATGGGTTACCGTGGAGCACTTAGTCAAAGTGCTATATGAATAAAACATTTCTTTCAGTTTAAAAATATGTTACTGATCTCTGGTTATAGACATTGTTTATAATGTTATCCTGTCCTAATTCTGTGTTCCGAGAAAAGACGGGACTTAACGACAGATGACATTGGCCTGATATGGTATATCAGTAATGAACATACGCTGCTTTTATAGATACCAAGAAGATACCACATTACCTCAATTGATGTGACATGTTTCAAGGCTGATCTCACAAAGATGTCACCATAAGTTACCTCAGGCTTGCACACACAGATTCACACTTATCTTTTGTACACTCAATAATAAGCATAAGAAAGCTTTTAGAAACAAAGCTAGTCATTTGTTTCTAAAGTTCAACCCACTGTCCAGGGACACAAAACCTAAGATGATAAATTGATCATGTGCCTTGAAGTGAGACGGTTGTTCAGGGAGATATCTAATCTGTATCACAGGTGAATGACCATTACCTGTTATCCTTTAGTTTTCAACATATCTTCCAACAATGAGAATTCTAGTCAAAGTTCTGGAAAGGGGATGTTTGTCCTAGGAAAGTGTGTAATCTACCGAAGCTGAACGTCTTGTGTTTTCACCTTCATGAGCATTTCCTAACTTGGTCCTGTATATAAATGGTGTCATGGATATCACGGGAATGATGCCACTCTGTATGAGATCAATCCTGAGAGGACAAATGTTGATGATTGGAGCTAAAGCTCAAAGTTGCAGGACTCGTGCACACAAGTGCCAGTAATGTGTCACATCCTCTCAGTCTTCATCTTCCACTTAGTTCTCTACCTACAAATCCTCAGCCTAGAACTTCACTTCCCATCATCCCTCTCTCACCGCTTTTCCCCCTACGTCATCGCCGTCATTGATAAAAGGAGGAAGTACAAACCACATACTCACTCAGTCATCGATTTACGAATCTATGTCAGAGATCCGAGCTATCCAGCTCATCCCGCCAGCTGTTTATTTGAGCTTCCCAGCTCTTCAGGCATTTCGCCTCAGCTCAAAGGGAGTAAATTCCTTACTTTTCAGAACAACGCCGCGTTCCCGTTTACACTCGGGTTCGGCACCGTTGCTCCTAGATTAACTGCGTGGCCGCAGTCCCCAATGCTCGTTCTTCCGCGTCTGGGTTCTCCCAACCATGCTACACTCCCACACCACCCACATCGGCGGTGTGAGACCCGATCGTTACATTATGCACCTGTGACTGGATCATTCTTGGCAGAACTTGAAACTCTACAAGAACAGGAAATTACCAGAACCTTAAAGGAGCCAAATCATGCCATTTTAAACCTTTAAGAACAAACGTAGGCACAATATAATGATAAAGTATTACTGCTGGCATTAATGGGATGTTATTTAATCTAAAATATGAGTTATCCGGTCCCTCGTTCTGTGGGAACTTTACCGCCCATGTGAGCAACGACAGTGACACCTGGAGATGTGTGGTGGGGATGAATGACCCCCGTGATCTGAATTAGACCGGTGTTTTGTTGTTGGACAGGACTTCTGTGCTCCTCATGGACTGTCCATAAAGAACACCATGGTCAGAAAAAAAGGTGCCAATGTGCTCTTGGCACCAGGATACCTTAGGCTGCAGCCTGCAGCTCGATGATCAACTTTGTTGTCGTCTCATCTGACCTGCGGCCGCATGTCTTGGACACTCGGGTGAAGAGAGGGAGAAGGCGTTGGTGGTGGGGAGGATGCCGGTCAGAACTGGCCCAAATGCATTGTGAGTGTCTGCTGGGAACGTCTGGCGGAGTCTCCTTACAGAAGAAGTTTCAATTCCCACCTCCAAAATGTTCCAAAGGAGGCAGAGGACATTGAGTCCGAGAGGACCATGTTTCGTGCAACCATTATCGAGGCGGCCGACCGGAGCTGTGGCCGCAGGGTCGTCTTTGCCTGTTGTGGTGACATTCCCTGACCCCGCTGGTGGCCACCGACGGTGGTTGCAGAGACAAAAACCCAGGTGTGGGAGGAGTTTGGTGAGACCATGGAGCAAGACTTCCGTATGGTTTAGAGGAGATTCTGGTCCACCATCCAGCGCTTTGGAAGGGGAAAGCAGTGTGCTATCAACACTGTTTATAGTAGAGATGGTGTGCTCAGTATGTTGTGGATAGGTGGGCAGAGTACTTAAAAGACCTCCTCAATCCCACCAGCACGTCTTCCAGTGAGGAGGCAAAATCCAGGGACTTTGGGTTGGGCTCTCAATCTCTGGTGCTGAGGTCACTAAGGTGGTCAATTAGCTCCTAGGTGGCAAGACTCTGGGGGTTGATGAGATGTTGTGGGACTGTGTTGGCTGATGAGGCTCTGCCCTAAACTCGAGTTGTAATATCCATTTTAAAGTGTTTATTGAAAGCTAGAATTCTGCTCCAGCTTACCTTGAAGAAAATATGTAGCTGTTTATGCTTTCGAATGATGATCTGTTATGTTCAGTAGAATACATTTTACAATCATTACTTTATATTTTATTTCCAAAGTTACATGTGATGAAACATGTTCGAAGTTACAAAACTTGGTACAAGTTACGCTGAATATTGTCCCAATCCTAGCTCCATATACTTGTCCGTGAAAAGTTCATCAACTCTGCATCAGCCAAGGTATTCCTTAAATATTAAGCAAATAAGCAGTAGTCTAACACTGTTGGTAAGTTCTGGTCGGCGCTCAGTTTCCTATTGAATGGAGTATGGCGTTAGATCCGTGCCACAACCCGTGCACGCGCATTGGGTCCACATCGCGCGTGTGAACGGGACTCGCGAGTGAAAATATACATGGCGAGAGGTCATTTGTGCACTGAGAGGGAGCAAACTGTGTCTGTGAGCGCACAAGGATGTGCACAAGTGACAAACCTGCGTGCGCGCGTTGCCAACGAGCACACGGCAGAGGAAAACGTGCGCGCGCGGCAGCCTCTCTGCGCGCTCGGTTTCTGACTCTGCTCGCTCGGCTGTTAGCTACAACAACAACTACTGAATATCAGATTTTTTTATATAGATATAGCTCCTATCATTTTGGTCCGACAGGAAGCCAATGGGCCAATGAGGTAGAGGGTAAAGTGCGGGCAAAACTAACCAATCAGAGGACAGAGAAGATCTGCCACAGGCCACCCCTCCATAGTGCCAAAACCCCTAACAGCCAAGCGAGCGGAGTCAGAAACCGAGCGCGCAGAGAGGCTGCCGCGCGTTGGCAACGCACACACGCAGGTTTGTCACTTGTGCACATCCTTGTGCGCTCACAGACACAGTTTGCTCCCTCTCAGTGCACAAATGA